ATTGTCTAGCTATTAAATCATTGACACAAACTGTGGATTCATTATTATTTGTGGGATACCAATGTTCGTGGATCATGTACAAGAATTCGTTCGGTCTTTAATGCGCATGCGCTTGTAATTGTCCACAGACGGCGATTAATTTTACTATAGATTTGTATGGGCAAATAGTTTTTATACCCGTATTACTTTATATTAACTTTTGAATATCTTCTTCGCGCCGTTAAATAAAGTTTATTAAAGGTTTAAACTGTGTAATGATGTAAATTTTGTGAAAATAAGATATTTTAAACATCCGTCACTTTTGATTTAAAATTTGCTACCATAAATAGCGAAGTAGCCCGTTTAATGTATACAGAGAAGGCATTGTTTTGCGAACCCCTGACATCTATTTGTTTCAATAACAAATAGTATTCGTTATTTTCTTATTTTGTCGTCGATATTTTTATAATCTCCAAAGACAGGGAAATAAAATGATATTTTTGCCTAAAAATAAACTTTTGTAATTCTCCCGTCTTTTTATGGTTGAAAATTGAAAATTCTTTAATTTGTCATGGAATAGAAAATTTTACACGCTTGGTTACGAAGTCATCGGCAAACACTTATACTTTTATGAATCGGTATGATTATATCCTTTAAGACTTTGATAAACAATATAATTGCGAATGTATACATGTTTACTCTACATTAAAGTAGCAATACTTGCAATACACAAGGTATATGTTTTTTTTTTTTTTGTGTTTTCCACTTTTCAATCATGAGAGAGGATGAAGTATACAATGGAATCATTATGTTGAAAAGTGAACTTCCAACAATTAACAATCTTAATATATTTTTCATTATTATGACAAAAATAAATTTGCTAAAAGCTTCAAAGAAAATCTTTGACAAAATACACACGTATTATTATTAGGTTAGACTGGTGTTATTGTAGCGGATGCATGTGGAAATTAAAATCCTTCGGATTTATGACATAAAAGAAGAATCTTCATCGTTATTCCATATATCGTGACCATATAAAACATCAATTGGATTAGGTTCTTTGGTTGCACCAGCTATATTTTTAACACAACAAATGACATGATTTTTTTTAATTATTAAAATTTCAATACTAGTAATTATTATTCCATAATTTTTCCATAACCATAAGCTAACTAACAATAATATCTTCCCTGAAAAACACATAAACTTCCCAATACTATGATAAAGTTTAAAATATGTTTTTAACAAAAATATTTACGAATTAACTTTTTCAACTACATGTACTGCATAAACCTACACACCCCGGGATACCAACATTGATTTGTGTGATTCAAGTAGCTAATTAAGACTGTTCTCCACAGGGAGTGATGCGTGTAATCTGACCGTGTATATATATTATTAATTTCTCACACTTTTCTTATCATTTCAAGTTGAAATCTTTCAGAGTTTTATCTTTGACGAGTTTTTGATTTGGCTAAGTTAGCTACATGTATTTGGAAAATACCCCGTGTTTACTTAATACTTTGTCATAGTTCACGGAGATCCGTTACATATATTCCTTTAGAAATAAACATAATTATAAAATGATTAATTAAAACGAATATGAAAATAAATAAAAAATACTCGAAACTGTAACATATTTTGAAAAGTTTTAATTAAAATAAATCGCATAATGGATTGTTACTTGATTACACAACGACCGAAATCATAAAGTCTCGCAACATGCATGGAGGTTTACATCTACTGTGTCAAATAAAAGATACACACACGTATTCCTCATTATTAATTTAAAGTCTAAGTAGACTTATAAGTCCATCTTTTTTTAAGAGGCCATAGTAAAAAAAAATGTCTTGCTTTAGGAACGGACAAATCATATTTTAAAAAAACTCTTAATTCGACAAAAATGTTGAAACTGTGAAACTGACATGATGTTTGATTTTTTTTTATTGACCAAATGTTTTTTTATTATTATGTTAGGTTGACGTTTTATTTTCAACTGAGACCATATGCAATCCCATTAGAAATAATTATGGTTCTCTTTTCACCGACATGTCCCTTTTTTTAACCAAGCTAATGTTTAAAGCTATTGCTTTAAAGTACATTCAATTTAGAAAATTCCAGTATTGTATGACAAATATTCTACAAATCATGATTTTGCATGGACAAGACTTTTGTGCCAGTGTGTGGCTAGTTAATTTATCATATCCAGTATAAAAATTATCCCAAGCAATGGAGTATAACATATATGGACTTCTTCCATCTGGCAGTAAATGGGTATTCTTTATAGCTTGCTGTTCGGTGTAAGCCAAGGCTCCATGCTGAAGGCCGTACTTTGACCTATAATTTTTTATTTTACAAATTTTGACTTGGTTATAGAGTTGTCTCATTGGCACTCATACCACATCTTCTTATTTATATTCGCTTCATTGTGCTGAATGTATAAACACGCAGCCACGTCCGATGCCACATCTCCTTTACGTTAGCATATATATATATATATATATACCCTTGCAACAACTCTTCCAGGGGTTTGATGGCAAAAAATTCATTTTCGAGTTGCATTCGAAATTTCTATTCTTCATCGTATTCTTCCTAGTCGTTCCTCTTATAATGCTTATTGAATTATTGCTGATTTGTTCTCGTTCCGAATATGCATGAACTATTTGTCACTCGATGCCAAGCAAAACCGTCAATCATATCCGCGCATGATATAAAATTAATCTTTTGCACCTTAAGATGCCGAAAACTTTGCAGTAGAATGTAAAAAATTTCTCATTTGTATTTCAAGGCGCATTCACACTAAAATTGTTCATTCTTTTTTATGTCTCAACCCTTCAAGGGAAGCTTGTATTAATTCAATGGACAACCGACTGAATAAATCAATAGCATCACTAAACGCTTAAAATGATCTTTCAAAGAATGTGCGATGGGTGCGCTGAAGGTTAGAAAAAGAGTTGAATTGAAACGGTATTGAATAAAGACTACGAGCTAGTGGTTTTCATAGAATGTGGACATACTGAGTGTTTTAAGTCAAGAAAATAGTTATAGGACATGGTGGTACTATCTGGATGCACAAACGGGAAAAGTTACCCGAGATGTTGAGATATTGAAATATAAGCGAAAAAAGGTTAAGTTCCGCTTAACTTCTATAAAGGAATTTAGCCTAACTAAAAAAAATGAGTGTTTAAACAATCTCTGCAATTGTTTAGTCATGACACAGTCTTTCGGATCAACTTGTACTTATTATATCTGCTAAAATGTAAAATGAAATTAGAAAAAAAACTTTTCCAAATGAAAAACTTTGGGATTCATGTCTAACATTGACAATATCACTTCTTTAATGATTTTGATGCGTCCAAAGCGCTTTTCTGTATTTACCTTTATTTTGATATCCAAAGTTATAACACACCATACAATTAATTGGTTAAATTTGTCTTCTTAAAACTAAGGAATATAAGTATGAGTATGATGGCCATAAAATCAGTAGGACATCATCGTTTTCGAAGCAATAACATAAAGGTGTTAATTCTGTTTATTTATGTTTATCTTACTACCTTTACATATAAAAGATCATAAACTTGAAATAGATATTTAACCAAATTTGATTACATAATGCTTTTTATTTATTATTGGTGGCTAAAGTTATGTATACCACATGTATTGAAGAAGTGAAATCAATTTTGTTTTAAATCGTTCTCTATTTTAAACTTAGATGCATTTCGCCATCTTGAAGTTCAAAGATGAAAAAAGAAACAAACATTTCACTAAGTTCGTTAATAGTTAAATTGAGTTAATATGAGTTTATAATTTTTCTCTGTGCCGATGTAATGCATTGTCTGTATGAGAATCAAAATATATATAGTCATTCAACCAGACATGGCAAAATTCAGTATTTTAGGTGGGCAGATTTCTTTTTTTTTTCTTTTCTCTGTTTTCTTTTATTTTGTCTTATAAAATCAAATACTTCTATTTTTCTTAACAGAATTTGCATGTTTAGAAAAATGTTCAAAGATTAAGAAAGAAATTTTTTCAATAGATACGCATATATAAAAATGTATAATAAAAACTAATTAAAATTATTATATTAAAACCCTAATCATTCTAATTTGATTCTAAACTCGGTTTCCTATTAAGTTACAAATTATTATACTATTGGATTAAAGCGTGGATATCGATCATCAAACATTCAAAACCTGTTGTGATCCGATATTTAATTATTTATGTACAAGTTGGCGTGCATAAATCAACATGTTCCTCGGAAATACTGATAAACTCGTTTCCCTTTATAAGAACATTGAGTTACCTCCCTTTTTTGAGTACAAGTTGTCTTTCTTGACCGAACTAATAGTTCAGTATGTTTGTGGGTATAGGAGAACCACGAATTGAAATGTTCAACGAAGTACAAATTTTCAATAGGTTTGTATGCAGACTTTGGCAAAACCACAAAATCAAATATCCACAAAAATTGATACCCATGAAAATATTAACATGAATCCATAGTATAGCATATAAAGTATAAGTATATGTGGTAAATATCACTTATCAATTATTTACAAAACTTACTTTAAAGGTTTTCATGAGGGATTCATCTTTCTTATGCCATGGTATGGAAATCAAATAGTAAGTAAACTAGAAATGTGAGTGAAGTCACAAAATAATACCCCTGCCTCACAATACTATAAGTATATTTATTATCCCCCCTTTAACATGTCAGACCAGGATAATACTTCGTTATGCACATCCTCAAGAGTGTTCTACAACTTCTCTTAAGTTTCATCAGTATCTGTCTAGCCATTAAAGAAAAGTTGTTCTTACAAGGAACATAGACAGACAGACATACAGATAGAAGGATTGATGGATGGATGGACAAACAGACAGACATACAGACAGAAGGATTGATGGATGGACACAGTGATTCCTATATACCCTCAAACATGCTGTGTGTATAATATATTTACCACTGTGGGTTTTTTGGAGCAAAACAATCTTCATTAAAATAAAATGTTAGTCAACAAACTTACCTGGTACTGAGACAAAGAATTTAACAGCATCACGATGTCCATGGAAGGACAACTGAGCCTGGGCCATTGTACAATATGGTATAAAACTTCCTGGAGTAACACTGTCTGTTTTATTATCACTATAAACACGAATAATTCCTCCTGGTCGTCCACCACTGGATGCTGATGACACAGTCTGTTTGTTACCTAAAACATATTATAAGGGATGATACAGTATGAAGGAAGTGTTCAGTAAAAAGCTCCAAGACAGTCATGACAGTAATCCAACAACACATGCACTATAGAAACAGAAATGAAGTGGTAACCCTATTGTCTTCAATGACAAACCAATAATAAACTTTTGATGACTTGTTGTTGGGTTGCTGTCTTATTGAGTTTTCCCCACATCTCCTTTTTCAAATGCCTAAAAAATGTATAGTTGCTATGAATGGTGTACAATTTATGATTGGTGTGTATTTTAGATGCAGTTGGATTTCTACAGATTTTAAATGAGAATATGTTTACCGTACTGAAATGGAAGTACTGTAGATTCATTATCATTCGTTGGGTACCAATTTTCGAGAGTTTCGTGGGAATATCAAAATCATGAATTTAAATTTTACAAAGAAGCATACATTTTCTATAGGCTTGTATTCAGACTTTTGCAAAATCATGAAATCAAATATCCATGAAAATATAAGTTTTCCTCAATCCATGAAAATTGATTCCCATGAAAATAATAAAACCACAGTATTTGAGATATAATATCTAAGAATTGCTAAGAATTGTAACTAGAGGCTCTCAAGAGCCTGTGTCGCTCACCTGATTCTTCTTTGGTTTTGGAAATCATGTTAAAATAGATTAAAATCATAACAGATACCCTAATAATGAGTGAGGCCAAATTTGGTTTAATATTGGACCTGTAATTTAATAAAAAATCCTGGTGGCCATCTTGAACAGTAAATCAGCAACAAAGTAGCAACACTTCATCAGCACCTCATGAGAAACATTTATGCCATGTTTGGTTTCATTCCATTCAGTGGATCTCTTAAAGAAGACATTTGTATGTATTTCCCATAGGGTCCTATGTTAAACTAAGTCCCCCACTGGCGGCCATCTTGGATGATGGATCGGCTTCAAAGTAACAACAGCACCTCATAAGGAACATTCATGCCATGTTTGGTTTCAATCCATTCAGTGGTTCTCTAAAAGAAGACATTTGTAAATATTTCCCATAGGGTCCTATGTTAAACTAAGTCCCCTGCTGGCGGCCATCAAGGATGATGGATCGGCTTCAAAGTAACAACACTTGGTCAGCACCTCATAAGGAACATTCATGCCATGTTTGGTTTCATTCCATTCAGTGGTTCTCTAAAAGAAGACATTTGTAAATATTTCCCATAGGGTCCTATGTTAAACTAAGTCCCCCCAAGGCGGCCATCTTGGATTATGGATAGGCTTCAAAGTAACAACACTTGGTCAGCACCTCATAAGGAACATGCATGCATGTTTTGTTTCATTCCATTCAGTGGATCTCTTAAAGAAGACATTTGTATGTATTTCCCATAGGGTCCTATGTTATACTAAGTCCCCCACTGGCGGCCATCTTGGATGATGGATCGGCTTCAATGTTAAACTAAGTCCCCCACTGGCGGCCATCTTGGATGATGGATCGGCTTCAAAGTAACAACACTTGGTCAGAACCTCATAAGGAACATTCATGCCATGTTTGGTTTCATTCCATTTAGTGGTTCTCTAAAAGAAGACATTTGTATGTATTTCCCATAGGGTCCTATGTTAAACTAAGTCCCCGGCTGGCGGCCATCTTGGATGATGGATCGGCTTCAAAGTAACAACACTTGGTCAGCACCTCATAAGGAACATTCATGCCATGTTTGGTTTCATTCCATTCAGTGGTTCTCTAGAAGAAGTTCAAAATGTAATAAGTTAACGACGACGACGAACGATGGACGCCAAGTGATGAGAAAAGCTCACTTGGCCCTTCATGCCAGGTGAGCTAATAAAAAGACAAGGAGGTTCAAAGTCTTGTCTATGAAAACTCACCAAAAATTTTAAAATGGTAAAATTTTGAATACCATTGAAGAAGATCATTAAATCAAGGCCTTGCCCTAAAAAATATTTTTGCTACATGTACAAGATGATAATGGGGGTTGAAGATCATGTAAGTAAGGCTGGCTTATGTCCAATTTTACAAACACTATGTTACAATGGCCTATTATGGTCCAATACATGTTTATACAATTCAAACTAGTTTATGACCTCACAAAGACACTTCAACTGATATTTTTGTACTATCATTGTGTCCAGTTTACACTACTCTATTCATTCATCAATAAAATTAACATTATTTTGTTAGGATTGAAGAATTTCACTTATTCTGCAATTTCAGGGGCAAGTAATCATCATTTCCAATGTGTAGCTTATTATTTTAAAAGACTAACAACAGTGTTTGTTCTTAGTTTCTCTCTTTTGTTTTTTTTTCTTCCTTTATTGTTTTGTACATAAATCAGGCTGTTGGTTTTTTGTTTGAATTGTTTCACATTTTGTCATGTTGAGGCCTTTTATAGCTTACTATAAGGTATAAGTTTTGCTCATTGTTGAAGGCCATACCATGACCTATAGTTACAAACATCCACATCCTTGGGTCTTTGGTGGATACTTGTCTCATTGGAAATCATACCAAATCTTCTCATTTTTATATCAATGTATAAAGATACATTGTATGTATATTTAAACTTAAAAAAATGTCACTCCATAACATCTCATTGCTAAAAATGTGTAAATTTCTTGTATTTACTTTAGAAATATTGAGATAATCTAAAAATGTAAAGGATGTTTTCAAAATTATGCATTGTTCCCAAGTTACATGTAATTCTAATGATTAGATATCGTGTAACATGTTTGTGATTAATATACATGTAGGTTGACAATTTTAGGAAGTAATCAATTAATTGTTTTTGCATGACAGGATAAATAAACTGTTGACACAGAGATATGTCTCGCCTGTCTGCATAAAATTCAGAAAAAGACAATCTGATGGACAGCAACATTGCTTATTAATTCAAAGTCAATGGACCATGATCTTGTGGGCATGCCCTAGAAATGGTCAACAAACAGAGATGTGACTTTCGATAGTTCTTATCAAACTGACTTGAGCAGAAAACTTAACATTGAATTGCTAATTATTTCAAAGTCACTGGACCATGACCTAGGGGGCAGGGCCTCAAAATAGTCATCAGACTGATATGTACTGATAGTTATGCAACATCATACAAAACATCATTGATCTATCACAAGTAGATCCTATCAAACTAACTTAAGCAGAAAACTTAACATTGAAAATTGCTTATTAATTCAAAGTCACTGGACCATGACTTAGGGGCAGGGCCTCAAATTAGTCGTCAAACTGATATGTACTGATAGTAATGCAATATAAATAAGAAGATGTGGTATGAGTGCCAATGAGACAACTCTCAATTCAAGTCACAATGTATAAAAAGTTAACAATTATAGGTCAAAGTACGGCCTTCAACACAGAGCCTTAGCTCACACCAAACAGCAAGCTATAAAGGGCTCCAAAATGACAAGTGTAAAACAATTCAAACAGGAAAACCATTGGTCTAATCTATATAATATAAACTGTTATCACAGAGATATGTCTCGCCTTTTTGTAATTTTGATAATGCAAATGTTGAAATTAAAATAGCAATACTTTAACATGTAAGTTATGCAAATATTCAAAGTCGATAGATCATGACTGAAGGTACATGGCTAAACAATCTCCATGGAATGAGATGTGCCAATGCTAATACAACTGCATACCAAATACCATTGACTTATTATAAGTCGTTCCCTCTAAACAAACCTAAACACAAACATTAACTTGTAAACTATGTAAAAGTTTCAAAGTCAATGAACCATGATCAGGGGTGGGGCTATATAATCTCCATGGAAATGATACTTGCAAATGCCAATAAATTTGCATACCAAATATCATTGACTTAACATTAGCATTCATCTTAAACTGATCTAATCAAGAACTAATACATGTAAACTAAGCAAAAGTTTCAAAGTAAATAGACCATGACTGAGGGGGCGGGGGCCAAATATTCTCCATGGAAATGAGATATGCCAATGCTTATACAACTGCATACCAAATGTCATTGACCTACCAGTAGTGGTTCCCCATAAATTGACCTAATCACAAACTAATACATGTAAACTATGAAAAGTTTCAAAGTCAATAGACCTTGACTGAGGGACCAAATAATCTCCATGGTAATGAGATGTGCCAATGCTAATACAACTGCATACCAAATATCATTGACCTACCACTAGTGGTTCACATGAACTAGACCTAATCACAAACTAATACATTGTTGACGCCGTCGACGTCCTCGACGCCGGAAACAGCATACCTATGTCTCGCTTTTTGACTCCGTCAAGGCGAGACAAAAACTGTTGACACAGAGATATGTCTCGCCTATCAGCATAAAATTCAGAAAAAGACAATTTGATGGACAGCAACATTGCTTACTAATTCAGTCACTGGAATATGATCAGGGTCTGAAAATGGTCGACAAAATGAAATATTCAGACAGTAATATAACTTTATAGAAAATATATCGTTGTTTATTGTAAGTAGTTCCTATCAATAAATAACTTAAGCAGAATAACTTAACATTGAAAATTGCTAATTAATTCAAAGTCACTGGACCATATTCTAGGGGGCAGGGCCTCAAAATATTCCTCAAACTGATATGTACTGATAGTAATGCAACTTTATATTAAATATCAATGATCTATCACAAGTAGTTCCTATCAAACTAAATTAAGCAGAAATCTAACCATGAAAATTGCTAGCTAATTCAAAGTTGCTGGACCATGACCTAGGGAGCAGGGCCTCGAAATAGTCGTCAAACTGATATGTACTGACAGTAATGCAACTTTATATTAAATATCAATGATCTACCACAAGTAGTTCCTATCAAACTAACTTAAGCTGAAAACTAAACACTTGGTGACGCCACCGCCGCAGGAAAAGCAATCACTTTCCGCTTTCCGCCACTTTCATCGCAGGCGAGACAAAAATAGTGCCTCCAAACCTCCGCCCACATTTATTTCTAGAACAACCCTTTATTGTTTATCATCTAACTCTTTATATATGGTTTTTTTTAACAAATCATTTACTGGACCTAAGTAGGTCTAAATGCTCTTTTCTGATGCAAATCCTTTTTTTTTATATCAATTATTGCATACAGTGTTTTCATGTATACTTAATTTCAAAATTTGTTTATAATAACAAAATTAATTATTATGTTTGGTATTTATAAAAATATGTTGTGCATGTTAAAATTATATCATATGTTATGACTACACATTTTCCAAATATATCATTCTTTCAAATTTGCAGGTTTTTTAATATATGACGGTAAAAACAGCATGCAAATAGAAAGTATGCTATACAAAGTGATAGACCGGATAGATTGAACTGTTTGAATGTCATAAAGTACAAACACTTTTTATGGACCAACACCATTTGTAACTTACTTTCAGACAAAGGCACAGATGTAACCACACCATTTATAACTTACTTTCAGACAAAGGCACAGATGTAATCACACCATTTATAACTAACTTTCAGACAAAGGCACAGATATAATCACACCATTTATAACTTACCTTCAGACAAAGGCACATATATAACCACACCATTTATAACTTACTTTCAAAGGCACAGATATAACCACACCATTTATAACTTACTTTCATACAAAGGTACAGATATAACCACACCATTTGTAACTTACTTTCAGACAAAGGCACAGATGTAACCACACCATTTATAACTTACCTTCAGACAAAGGCACAGATATAACCACACCATTTATAACTTACTTTCAAAGGCACAGATATAACCACACCATTTGTAACTTACTTTCAGACAAAGGCACAGATGTAACCACACCATTTATAACTTACCTTCAGACAAAGGCACAGATATAACCACACCATTTATAACTTACTTTCAGACAAAGGCACAGATATAACCACATCATTTGTAACTTACTTTCAGACAAAGGTACAGATATAACCACACCATTTATAACTTACTTTCAGACAAAGGCACAGATATAGCCACACCATTTATAACTTACTTTCAGACAAAGGCACAGATATAACCCCACCATTTATAACTTACTTTCAGACAAAGGCACAGATATAACCCCACCATTTATAACTTACTTTCAGACAAAGGCACAGATATAATCACACCATTTGTAACTTACTTCCAGACAAAGGCACAGATATAACCACACCATTTATAACTTACTTTCAAAGGTACAGATATAACCACACCATTTATAACTTACTTTCAGACAAAGGCACAGATATAACCACACCATTTATAACTTACTTTCAGACAAAGGCACAGATATAACCACACCATTTATAACTTACTTTCAAAGGCACAGATATAACCACACCATTTATAACTTACTTTCAGACAAAGGCACAGATATAGCCACACCATTTATCTTACTTTCAGACAAAGGCACAGATATAACCACACCATTTGTAACTTACTTTCAGACAAAGGCACAGATATAACCACACCATTTATAACTTTCTTTCAGACAAAGGCACAGATATAACCACACCATTTATAACTTACTTTCATACAAAGGCACAGATATAACCACACCATTTATAACTTACTTTCAAAGGTACAGATATAACCACACCATTTATAACTTACTTTCAGACAAAGGCACAGATATAATCACACCATTTGTAACTTACTTCCAGACAAAGGCACAGATATAACCACACCATTTATAACTTACTTTCAAAGGTACAGATATAACCACACCATTTATAACTTACTTTCAGACAAAGGCACAGATATAACCACACCATTTATCACTTACTTTCAGACAAAGGCACAGATATAACCACACCATTTATCACTTACTTTCAGACAAAGGCACAGATATAACCACACCATTGCCGGTTCCTATCCATAGTCTCTGACATGAGATCAACATTGATGTTATCCTTACAAACGAGAAACCAAGCTTTCCTGTTCCTGTAAACAAAAAGCAAAATTTCTTGTTTAAAAAAGAAAAATACCTGATAATTCAGCACTGTGTTGATATGATTTAGTAGGTTGTAAACAAAATTAAACAATAAAGGTCTGGCATACTGAGAATCTGAAAACCTTCAGATCTGTTTATACATCCACATGCCTTGCTTTCAAAGAATTGTAAGTTATTTTTCATGTCTGTATAACAAGTAAAGGTCCCTATCTATTGCTAAAAATTTATTTTCAGTTAAGTATATAAAACACTCTTAAATTATATGGCAACTCCACTGCAAAGAAAAACTTGCACTAACATACATGAAATATTTTTAAATTAATGATAGGCATTGATAATGCTTTAATGATCTTAGGGTCATAATAGGAAATTTGCATTCTCATGTGCCCACTCTATATCAATATCATCTTACATTATTTTTTATTTCACTTTTATGTGATGCAATTGACAAAAAATGTTTTTATTGTGCATATTTGAAAGATTTGATCCTTTCACATTATCAAATTTCCATTATATTTTTCTAAATTGCAGTATGAATTCATCACTTCAAACTGATTAGTGTAATCCTATTGCTAGTGAAAGATTGTATAAAGTATGAAGTAAGTGCATTAGTATAAAACAATATGACTTGGATGTGTCAACTTCAACCTTAATAATAGTTATTTTAAAAGTAATTATAAACATTGTTTCCATAAAAATAAACTATTGTTATGTGTTCTAACATGAGAACTGGAATGTTTTTGGTAGATGAGTAATAAATTAGTAAGCAAAGTTGAAAACAGGATATTAAAGGGAGATAATATTAGTTGTGTGAAATAAATTTACATGTTATTGATTTCCCTGTAAAATTATCTCCCTTTTATATCTATACTTTTGTAATAACTGTAGAAAAAATATTAAAATTGAAAGTACACCATAACTTTTGGTTACAAAACAAAGCAATAACAAACAACATTTAGAATTAATTTCTTATAAAATGTTGTTATGATAGAAATTTTCATATTCAAATCAAACTTTATTATAAATTAGTGTTCCTGATAAGTATTCAATATTGTCCCAACTTTCTCAGAAAACTGAAAGTTAAGCACTAGAATTAGTTGGTAACATACATGATTTTCATTACACTGCACTTGCTTCATACTAACAACCTTTCACTACCAATGGGCTAAAATATTAGCCCAGTTGATCAGTTTGAAAAGGAAAATAGATGAATTCAAACAGCAACTCTGAAAAATATTTTGTCCATCAGTATTGTGAAAGGACCAGGCCTCTTTGGAAAACAAATTATTTCTTTACCAGAAACAGTCAAAAATAAAACTGAAACTCTGAAATTTGTACAAATTAAAAATATAATGTTGAATAAATATCAAAGAGTATATTATTATGCCTGTCAAATACATGTATATACACACGGAATAACAATCTCAAGAAAACTAGAAAATACCACCTATCATGGAGCAGTGGTTTGATATCTAACACTTAAAAGGATAAATCAAGATATCTTCATGCATCAACTTCAGAGATATTTTTTTATATTTATCAACAGGGTGAAAGTCTTTTTCTTTAAAGGTGTATAATTTATTTACCTAACATTTTGCTGACATAAGGTTCTATGTCGACATCCTGGAGATGTTGATGGGTGTAGGCATGGTATAATCGTAAGGTACTGTCTAGTCTTATAGATACCCAAACACCATCACCCAACCATGCTAACTGTCTCACTTGACTTTCTTTTCTCGGATGTGCATCAAATGTTTTCTGTAATAAAAAAAACATAGATGATATGCATAACACATTAAGGGGTAGAAAATAGCAGGATTCTTACTCCATTGGAAATTTCAAATAAGTCAAATAGAAATTTTGCCGTTGTCAGGTTAGCTTATCATTTTCAAATGAAATATGTGGGAAAACGAAATATGGTGATTTTTTTTTACATTTCCTGCTGAAAATGTAAAGGACTTTTGAAATGCATTTTCTAAAGGGCACATAAAAAAATTAATAAATTAATATTTCCAAGGGGCATAACCCTTTTTTGAATAGTTGATCAGCAGTAATTTTCGAACTTTCCGAGACATTGCTGATATAGCAACAGGAATAGAAATCTTAAAAATTCACTGATAGCACAGTACAGACTATAATAAACCAAAGAAGGACTCAATGAAAACAAGAAATGATTGTAACAGGATGCTGTTACGAAGTCTCCCAAACGAAGCTCCCATAATTCGTAATTCCCAGGGTCGCCTGACATTGGGCCACATCCTGTGAAAATTGGTTTGGTCCAGTAAAGTTATATGCATTAGTGATGCCTGGGGACTAACCTTGTATATCATTCAAATCATCTTGGCATGACAAACCAGAATATATATGGTTTAGGGGTGGGGATCTCGACCATTTACAAGATACTAGAACATTGGGGGTGGGGAGGAACCCCTGGGGACTGGCCCTATACGTCATTCAAATGTTCATTACATGAGGAACAGGAATATATATGGTTTAGGGGTGGGGATCTCAACCATTTACAAGATATAAGAACATTGGGGGTGGGGGGAACCCCTGGGGACTGACCGTATACGTCATTCAAATGTTCGAGACATGACAAATAGGAATATATATGGTTTAGGGGTGGGGATCTCGACCATTTACAAGATATTAGAACTTTCTCAAATGGCAGGGGGTCGGGATGACCCCTGGGGACTAACCCTGTATTTCATTTGATGTGCTTTATCATGACAAACCAGAATATATATGGTTTAGGGGTGGGGATCTCAACCATTTACAAGATATTAGAACTTTCTCAAATGGCAGGGGGGCGGGATGACCCCTGGGGACTAACCCTGTATATCATTCAAACCATCTTAGCATGACAAACCAGAATATATATGGTTTATGGGTGGGGATCTTGACCACTTAGAAGATATTAGAACTTTCTTTAATGGCAGGGGGTGGGGGTGACCCCTGGGGACTAACCCTGTATTTCATTTGATGTGCTTTATCATGACAAACCAGAATATATATGGTTTAGGGGTGGGGATCTCAACCATTTACAAGATATTAGAACTTTCTCAAATGGCAGGGGGTCGGGTTGACCCCTGGGGACTGACCCTGTATATCATTCAAACCATCTCAGCATGACAAACCAGAATATATATGGTTTAGGGGTGGGGATCTTGACCACTTACAAGGTATTAGAACTTTCTTAAATGGCAGGGGGTGGGGTGACCCCTGGGGACTAACCCTGTATTTCATTTGATGTGCTTTATCATGACAAACCAGAATATATATGGTTTAGGGGTGGGGATCTCGACCATTTACAAGATATTTGAACTTTCTCAAATGGCAGGGGGTCGGGATGACCCCTGGGGACTAACCCTGTATATCATTCAAACCATCTTAGCATGACAAACCAGAATATATATGGTTTAGGGGTGGGGATCTTGACCACTTAGAAGATATTAGAACTTTCTTAAAAGGCAGGGGGTGGGGGTGACCCCTGGGGACTAACCCTGTATTACATTTGATGTGCTTTATCATGACAAACCAGAATATATATGGTTTAGGGGTGGGGATCTCGACCATTAACAAGATATTAGAACTTTCTCAAATGGCAGGGGGTCGGGATGACCCCTGGGGACTAACCCTGTATATCATTCAAACCATCTTAGCATGACAAACCAGAATATATATGGTTTAGGGGTGGGGATCTTGACCACTTACAAGGTATTAGAACTTTCTTAAATGGCAGGGGGTGGGGGTGACCCCTGGGGACTAACCCTGTATTTCATTTAATGGGCTTTATCATTTAGAACATTTTCAATTAAAAAGATTGTGTCTATCACAAACGGTTTTCAATTTATAATCATTTGAAAATTTTAAAAAATAAAATCCCATAGGGTTCTATAGTAAAACCCTCTTTTCTTTTTGCCCCTCAAAGTACCCCTTTATAAACCCCATTGCACAAACAAAACCCTGATTGCACCACTAGACATGTTAGTCTAACATATTGTGAAACCCTAAGTTAATCTGACAAGCGGTTTTAGAGAACGGGTGCGGACAAGTTCAAATTTAAAAGCGGCGGAAGAAGAAGAAGAAGAAGAAGAAGAAGAAGAAGAAGAAGAAGAAGAAGAAGAAGAAGAAGAATAATAATAATAATAAGAACTGAGCAAAAACAATAAGTCTTCCCAAACTTCGTTTGGGAGACTTAATAAGACGGCATAATTTTAAATATACGTAATTTTAGTACAATGTTAGTTCAAGGCAACTATTTGGTCATTTGCATACCATAATAGACATAGATTCTGGGTCCACTACATGTATTTTGTTCCTGTATCCACACCACACATGGTTGTTAGCTATCACAGACATACACCTGATAGAATGATGGGGTTTACCCAGATCTAACAAATGATAGTTCTGTAGGTCCCATTGTCCATCTGTTGAAAAAATAATATCTTCAATTAAAAGCACTATAATCATAAATAAAGACACATATCTTTTAATGTGCATTATTAAGAGATGACTCCATGAGGTTGTCTAAAGGTTTGTATTATTTCTGTATTGAAAATAAGATTTTTGAGTAACCTATGACAGTATTTGTTAGATTTCTCTCCTTATTATAGTTTGTTAGTAGTTTAAACAGTACTTATTACTGAAAAATTGTATCAATAAAATAGTACAATTTTACATAGCAGTCACATAGTATATTTAAACATAGCAGTCAAATATGAGATTTTGATTCAAGTTTGGAATCTGTCTTCCGAAATTACAGTTTGTTATTCTTCAATGCACAAATGTGATTTTATTGACATCTAGCAAAGATATCTAAAATTGGTGAGCTTTTCCTCCATGATGAAGGACTCACTTGGACTTCAAGGTGAACAACAGCAATAAAATCTGGTTTCTTTGCTTTTTGGTTTTATGTTATACTTGATCATATAAATTGCTTTCCAACACTTATGCCTTAAGTTCTTAACACAGGATTATTTTACCTATAGCTCTATGAAATATTGCAACTTTCCCATTGGCCAATGCCACTAATACTCTTCCTTTAACATGGCTAAAAAGAGAACAATATGATTGTGTGAAATAATCAACAATTACAATCGAGGGGAGATAATTCTTCACAATTATTACATATTTCATAGATGGAGATAATAATATTAAGTTTTAAACTCCATTGGAATTTACCTCAAAAGTTTTTTAAAAGATATTGGCTAGCAAACTTAACATTTTTATTATTACCTGTCATGGATACATACTCTATAAGATGTTCTAATAATATTTTCCTTCCAAATTTTTTTCCGAAAAGTTTATTTTTAAGAAACCATGAACACAAAATTTTCTTTTTATTTACACTAATTTACTGTTTTATATTCTCTTATGAAATATGAATATTTACAAAATAACAATCTAAAGTTACAAAAGTAAACGTATTACATTCTATAAAGGACTCTGCTAATTGTATACAATGATAAATAGTAAGTTTGACTTACACAATATTTAACACAGCATCTTCTAACTTGACTGAGTGTAAACATCGTCTCCACTGAGATACTGCAGAGTGAACATATAAACTGAAACAAATAAAAAATGTTTACAATTACTATAAATCATGTTTGTTTGTGGATACCAATTTGGTGGATTGAGGAAAACTAATATTCGTGTAGATATTTGATTTTGTGGATTTTCCAAAGTCTGTATGCCTTAAGAAAACATGTAATTCGTTGAACATATAAATTTTATAGTATATCCATACCCACCACGAAATCCTTGAAAATTGTTATACCACAAATGATAATGAATACACAGTATAACCCCATATTAAATGTTCACTTTTTATAATATCAAATTGTAGTAACATGGACCCACTTAATGAACTTCACACCCTAATGATGAGTTATGCATTAATATAAAATTCTTGCATTGTCATATTGTGAAGGAAATTATGTGTTTATTCATATCACAATTTTATGTCCTGGGTAATATATTTATTTTGTTCAATTGAAAAGAGCTAGCATTGTATTTTTCCCTTCAAAATTGCAATCTATAGATTTTTATAGAGAAGATGAACCAAGGAGGGTGGACATATCAACCAGGAAACAATAACATTTCAATAAAGAGTAGAAGAAATAAGGAGTAACATGACAGGTAAAGTGAGGTGAGGGGATGAAGTAGGAAAATCTTATCCTCATCCACACACACACATACACATTGACAATGTATATTTACCTGCCACTCTGTGAAGCTAGCCACATTGTGGGTAGAATACTACTCATCTTCTCAGCCTCCTCAAACTGTAAGTCACTGTCATCCTGTCCAGTTTTTCTGTCTAATGATCTGTCAGATGCTGTAGATATAGGTGTTGTCCGCCCTGATGAGACAGGAGAGCCTTTAGCCTTAAATACTGCTGGTCCATTCTGACCTAAATATTGACAGGAATTATCTTTTATGGTGATATTGATATTTTTGCAGTAAGATTTTTGTGAAAAACTGAGTTTTAAACATTTAAGCATTTTGATAAAATTAAATGAGAGACAAAAAAGAAAACAAGATCAATAAAGATTATTGGTATAATTTGTGAGAATTTTCCAGCACAATGTAGTTATTCTCCTTTTGGAATGCCTAGGTATATCTTTAAATGTCTATTAAATTTTTCAACAAGATAATATATTTTAGAAGTATATGTGTTATGTATACTTCTATTATCATATTCAGAAATTATTGAGTTAATTCATTATTTGGACTAATCACTAAAAGACATAAATGTGAGATTAATTGATGTTCTTATGGGAAATTTTGCATTCAAATATTGCAATCTAAATTAAAAGTGATTTCATCAACTTTCTATACTTTGATAAAAAGAAGAAAACTATTCTTTTATTTTTAGAGAAAGCACTAACCTTCTATACTTTGTTCAGAAAGCAGACTATCTCGATCTGTTTCACTCTTCTCCTTTTGATCAGAGTCATTCTTTTCATCTGTAATGAGAATAAATGGAAATGGTTAAAAACAATTCTAACAATTTATTCATATTATCATTAGTTTCTACTTTTAAAAACTTTATTGTCATGCCAAACCTATGTTTCCTAATCCCACTTGAAAAGGATGATAGGAATTACAAATAAATATTGGACAATACAACAGACTACACTACCTAAAAAACCTTGTTCCTTGTGATAACAAAAATGTGTACCAACAAAGACAAACAACAGACTTGAACCGGCAAAAAATGTGGTGGGGTTATACCAGTTTTATGCGTCCACCAGCCTCCCCTTTTGGTCATCTAGACCACATTTCATAAAACTTATACACCTCAAAAAAACCTGCAGCTACAAACAGAACCCCTAACTTAAACAAGGAGGAAAAGACAGCAGAAAACTGGGGCAGAGTGAACTTCTTGTGGCTTTTTCTTTGTAAATCAACTGTAAGCAATTTTATGTGACTTTTGCAAGTTGAAAAATAAGGCAAGTATGTCAAAATAAGATCTCTTATATGAATAAATCCATAAAATCGTGCAAATAAATTGTTGCAATGCTGGCTAAAATGGGCTAGAAGCGAAAAAAAGTATTTAAAAAATAGGAGGTAAACAATGGAATTAGGTACTCAAGATTCTCTGAAAGTTTAATTGAAATTCAGGCACTGGTTACGAAAAATATGCTGATACAAAGTGTGAACAGAGCCAACAAAGGAAGGAAAACAAATAAACAATTAAATTATTTGATTAACAAACAGACATAAAGAGCACTATCTATTCAGTGGGAGACAAATAATACAGATATAGATCTTTTTTTTTCAAGCTTTTGACAATACTAACTACAACTAAATATGAATTACAAACAGTAAATAAACTCATACTAGACGTGTGTTTCGTCTACAAAAGACTCATCAGTGAGGCTCAAATCAAAAAATTTAAAAAGGCCAAATAAAGAGTAAAGTTGAAGAGTATTTTGAGGACTTAATATTCTGAAAGGGTTTGCCAAATATGTAGCTAAGATAATCTACTCCTGGGGTAGAAAATTCTTAGTATTTTGATAAGTACAAATTTTTTAACTGACCTCTTAGAGATTCTCTGGACTGTGGTCGATGTTCTGGACTGATTTCTGAAAACAAATAATTCATTCATCAGAATTTGTCTCTTTTTCTAATTGTTTACTTTTCTAATTAAAGTAATTTGAAATTACACAAACTGTTACATTATAAACATTCTATAAATTGTCCTTTGGATTAAGGTTTTAACGAACTGATTTTTAAGATTAAGGCATCTACAAACTTAGCTATAGTGCTCTATGTTTACATAGTGACATATAAACTGTAAAAATATAAGTGAACCAACACCTGAAGTGGTGATCGTGCGGTAGGGTAAAAACGAGTGGATACCGCTAGGTATTCACAGTCATCTTGAAAAAAAATGAATATGTCGACAATAAAGACAACAACACTAGTGTTGTTGTCTTTATTGTCGACATAGTGACATATATTTAGATGTCAACAAATTTACTTTCGTACATAAGGTACCTATAAACTGACCTCTAAAAAGTGACCCTTCCAATTAAGAGTTTACAAACTAACCTTTCAATTCAGATTTCAATAAACTTACTTTTAGAGTTAAGCACCTACAAACTGACCTCTTCAAAGTGAACATCAGATTTAAGTGTTAAAAATAAATTTTTTGCTTGTTAATATATTTCTCAAACATTTAAATTTAGATTTAGGTGTCTTCAATCTGACCATTCTTCAAATTTACAACCCTACATACCATTAGTATCCATTTACGAAACTCTACTAACACAAAATAAAAATAGGCATTGGTTCAGTCACTTAATCATTTATCTGACCATTAGAAAGATGTGCAAAAACTGACCATTTAGATCAAGATGTCAACAAACTAACATTTTTATTTGTCAATGAATTTACCTTTATATTTAAGGGTCTACAACCGAACACTTTTTCTAAATAGTTGTCTGTAACTTTACCTTTAGATTTAGGAGAACCAAAAGGAGATGACATAGGTGATGTTGGTTTACTGCTTGGTTTCCCTGTATTAACACACTGTACAAAGCTTATGTCTCCAATACCACTGTCTGTGGCCTGGTTGTCCTTATCCATAGGAGGAGGATTATACTGAGGATAAGATTCTGCCTTCAAAATTTCTTCATCTACTGGGTAGTCTGACTCTAGAGCACCTGGTAAATATTTAAATACATTTGTATTTATTGAAATGAATCTGCTGCATGATTGTTGGTTTGTCTTACGGACTACAATTTTTTTTTAAATATCAGCTCATTATTGACAAGAGTATGTTGCATAAGATGTTAGTGGTAAAAAATATTCCATCAATTCTTAAATCATAAAGTTAAATAAGTTGAAAATTGCTTTTCAAAGGTTTTTAAAGTTGTTGTCTCATTGACTTATATCCAGTGTCTATTTTCATTCATTATCAACGCATCATGTCATCAAAATTTGATAGCAAGTAATGTTGTCAACCACATTTTTCAGATTTTTCTCTCTCTCAAAACTTTCAATTTTTAGTAATAATGGTGACCACATCAAATTGTATTATCATTTCTCTAAAGGTAGGTAGCAACAAGCCACATATTCTTTTTTGAAGTGAATTCTTAAAAAGAGAATTCACTAAATGATATACAGACATTCTTTTACAGTCTTATAACCTGCTATGCTGAAAATACATAAAACATCATGTACAGTTTTCTATACCTGCTACACTTGCTGTACATAGAACATTATGTACAGTTTTCTATACCTGCTATACTTGCTATACATAGAACACCATGTCCAGTTTTCTATACCTGCTATACTTGCTATACATAGTATAGAAGCTGTTGATACTCTGAATGTCTCTAATATTTCACCAGGACAATTGGCATCAATCACGACCACACGACTCTCTGTTGATGTACTGGTACATATCCAAACATACGAGGATAACTGCTCCTTACCAGAGTCTTTTAAATTCTTTTCATGCTCCTAAAACAAGTATAAAACATCTTCACACACCTATTAACATTTAACATAACAAGAGTGCACACGCTGAAATGTCTCGCCTTCTTTACTAATCACTGATATTATGCTGATAGTCCTAAATATAAATCTTTATTAAAACTGTCACATAAACTTAACATTAACCAAGAAAACTAAACATTGACCAATGAACCATGAAAATGAGGTCAAGGTCAGATGAACCATGCCAGGCAGGCATGTACAGCTAACAATTCTTCCATACAACAAATATAGTTGACCTATTTCTTATAGTTTAAGAAAAACAGACCAAAACACAAAACTTAACACTTGAACTGTTAAAATGAGGTCAAGGTCAAATAAAACCTGCGCGACTGACATATAGATAATAAAATATTTCCATACACCAAATATAGTTGACCTATTGCATATAGTATTAGAAAAAAAAAGACCAAAACTCAAAATCTTAACTTTGACCACTGAACCATGAAAATGAGGTCAAGGTCAAATGACACCTGCCAGCTAGACATGTACACCTTACAATCATTCCATACACCAAATATAGTAGACCCATTGCATACAGTATAAGAAAAACAGACCAAAACACAAAAACTTAACTATAACCACTGAACCATGAAAATGAGGTCAAGGTCAGATGACAACTGCCAGTTGGACATGTACACCTTACAGTCCTTCCATACACCGAATATACTTGACCTATTGCTTATAGTATCTGAGATATGGACTTGACCACCAAAACTTAACCTTGTTCACTGATCCATGAAATGAGGTTGAGGTCAAGTGAAAACTGTCTGACGGGCATGGGGACCTTGCAAGGTACGCAAATACCAAATATAGTTATCCTACTACTTATAATAAGAGAGAATTTAACATTACAAAAAATGTTAACTTTTTTTTTCAAGGAGTCACTGAACCATGAAAATGAGGTCAAGGACATTGGACATGTGACTGACGGAAACTTCGTAACATGAGGCATCCATATACAAAGTATGAAGCATCCAGGTCTTTCACCTTCTAAAATATAAAGCTTTTAAGAAGTTAGCTAACGCCGCCGCCGCCGGATCACTATCCCTATGTCTAGCTTTCTGCGACAAAAGTCGCAGGCTCGACAAAAATAAGGAGATGAGGTATGATTACCAATGAGACAACTATCCACCAGAGACCACAGGATATAAACAACTAAAGAGCACTGTACGGACATCAACAATGAGCAAAACCCATAACATATAATAAGCTATAAAAGGTCCCACAAAAAAAAAAGTGAAACAATTCAAAAGAGAAAAGCAAGTCTGATTTATGTTACTTAAGTTCATTTCTTAAAAGGGTTCAAGGATTATGAAAAGAACACTGCGGTTACAAGGCAACCTGTTCAGTAATTAGCACTGCTACCCCAATCTGCATGTCAAATAAATAACAATTTGAAAGGAATTTTTATAAACAACAGTGTGAATATTTACTATTCAATCTATGTGAGAAATATGTGACCAAATGGGAAGAAACCTGCAAATCTTCTAACTACTTACGGCTCACCAAACAATATTACCAATCAGAAAGTCAGGTCAGTATAATTTTCCTTAGGTATGGTGTGCTGGAGATTTGTCTCATTGGCAATCATACCACATCTTTTTATTCTTATATTGAAATTAGTGCTGTATTGCGTTTCTTTTGAAGAAATTTTACATTGAATATTTTGTAGTTTGTTTTTGGTAATTTTTGGGTCATAATTGATGATAGCTATGGTAATTAACCATAATACATTAAGGGTCTAAAATGAGTTGCAAATGGTCCCTTACAGCATTTACCAATGATTGACAGAGGACAATTAAGCAGGAAATGTTCATCATTCTCAAGTAAGGAAGTCTGTCTCTTTTGTTTTTAGTATCTTAGCATTATTAAATTCTTGGTTGTCTGTGGCATTGCTGTTTTTCCTGAATCTGCCTATGTTATTTGAAACTTTATTTTTCATAAAACTTTACCCCGTACCATGCACTGTGTCTAACCTACACCTCTACAAGCCATCACACTTTTTATGCAATTGTTTATCATTGTTCTATATTTTACCTTAAGTTCATGGTTCAGTTTTTCAACGTCATCTTTGGTAATCTCCTTCTTGGTTTCCTGATCAAAGTCACCAGGGTCTGAGTAGAATACACTGGCCCCTACAATAGACCCTCCATCTCTGGTCCTCCCTCCAGTCAAGTTTACCCCTGCTGCACACCATATCTAAACAGAAAATTATGAAATTGTCATATTGCAATCATTCATTTTCTTTATATAATTTAATTTTTAACATTTTTATAGCAAACATCATATTTCTATTTACAGCGTCACATTTCAACTTTTCTTGAGGAAATTTGCCTCATGCTTTCAAATTTTCTTAATATTCTGCAAATCATCTGGCTTTTCCTATACTATGAATTAAAACACTTTTTACCAATCAACACCATAATATTTCAATATATTTGTAGAACTTACATTTCAAATATAATATTTTTCATACAGCAGAACTTTCTTTTTTTCCAAGACAAAAAAATTCCACAGACGTCTTTGTCCAAGCAAAAAATGATAACTGTTAAAATACTTTGTATAATCTTTGTATAGAATTATGTTTTGTTTAAAGACTGTATCTTGACAGGTAGATGTATTTTGGCTTTTTGTGTCTTTGTATAGAACCATGTTTTGTGTAAAGACTGTATCTTGACAGGTAGATGTCTTTTGGTTATTTGTGTCTTTGTATAGAACCATGTTTTGTTTAAAGACTGTATCTTGACAGGTCGGTGTCTTTTGGTTATTTGTGTCTTTGTATAGAATCATGTTTTGTGTAAAGACTGTAACTTGACAGGTCGGTGTCTTTTGGTTATTTGTGTCTTTGTATAGAACCATGTTTTGTTTAAAGACTGTATCTTGACAGGTCGGTGTCTTTTGGTTATTTGTGTCTTTGTATAGAATCATGTTTTGTGTAAAGACTGTAACTTGACAGCTAGATGTCTTTTGGTTATTTGTGTCTTTGTATAGAATCATGTTTTGTGTAAAGACTGTATCTTGACAGGTAGGTGTCTTTTGGTTATTTGTGTCTTTGTATAGAATCATGTTTTGTGTAAAGACTGTATCTTGACCAGGGCTTCCAAAATTTCCTGATGACAGCCGGACATTTTTCAAAGAAATACTTTTGACGGTCAATGATCAGCTGGATACTTAAATGTAACTGAGAGGATGCATAAATTGATATAGGTGTCTAAATAATTAGTAGTGTTATATGCAATAAAATTATTTATAACTGTTTTGTTTTCTTCATTCTAAAAATAAATAAAATATTATCCTCGGTATTGTGTCATTTTTCTGTGTATCGTAATACAGTAACCATCATTGCATCAATCAGCTTCAGTACCTGACTGTTCTCATGTTTTTGTTTCTGTTTATATAATCTATCTTCTCTCTGTGAGTACTTAACACTTTGTAAATTAAGGCCATCTTATTTGAAACTGTTGATGTTGGCTTTAATTGCAGTACAACTTGATCATCAATACACGTGATACTTTTCTTTTTGTGTATTGATTACCTGACCACGTGACTTTTACAACTGATGCGGTATTTATAGATAACATTGAGGAGGCCCGATGAAGGATATTGTTTTAAACCGTGTAAAATCTACTGAACAGTGATAACATTTTTCTTTGTACAATTTCCCAACCTGATTTAGAAAATAAGGAATAAATAAAAACATACTCAGTTGATAAATAATTTAATGAATAACAACATGATATTTTATGTAAGCATATAACAACAATAAAATGTCAGAAGAGCACAATGCTGACAAACACACGCAATAAATATTACAATGAGCACATTGAAAAGAAGCACAGATCACAGCACAAGATTAGAGTTCATTTAGTCTAATTAAAGATTTTACATTCATGAGCTTGCTAAATGCATTGTTCTGATAAACATGGCGGTTACGAACGGATTGCCATTTGCGGATAGCAGGAACAGGGTCAAAGTCTTTAACATCTACACCTACTAAGCTTATCCTCATAAGTTGATCTAAAGCGTCAATACCTAGACTACACCTTAGTCGATCATAATTCCCACGGCGGGACTTAACTTTACGTCGGACATCACCTCTTTCTCTATAACATCGGAAATTGTCTGAATAAATTCGGAGCAGGCATTGTTCTCTTGATATAATTTAGAAGTGATCACGGCACCATTTAACTTAGTTAAATCATTTATTGACTGAAATTTGTCCATTGGTTTTTCCTATATATTTTAGTAAATTTTCCCCTTGAGAGTACCCCAGTATTTAACACGATGTACAGTGTTAAATAAAATAATATATATCATACTTATTCATTTATAAATATCCTTATTTGAAGAATAACTTTTAAATATCAGGATACTTTTAAAACTGAATGCTCATTTAAAATAATATCTATAAAGCGTAATTAAATAGGATGTTGTTCCATTCACGCTTACATGTTTGACCTCGTTTACCGGATTACCTTTATGTACATTGTTATGCATCATTAATTCTATTGATAAAGATAAGCTAAGGACACCTCATCAAAGGTAACAAACCTGTAATCAGTGAATGATTTATGGCTTCAATATAACTTATTGAAGGGATAATTGTTTGACAGCTTGTTGTTATTTAAATAAAAGAAAACGTGTTTTTTCTACTTTTTATTGATGTACACAAGCTAAAGACCAAGCCGTACATTTATGTACCCAGAGGATTAGACTAACTGAGACACTTCAAAGTATCTGAAATATGCTGCTTCTGTTTTATTAAACCCAATTATGACCGAAATATCTTTGTGAAATAGATTGCCACAATTATACGGACATGCCCAAAGCCCCAAACGGACATTTTTATCGATCGATAGTTGGTAAAAATTGAAATGACCGTTTCATGAAAATGCCTTGAATAACAAAATGTGGCACACCAATTCTATTTGACCGTTTGAGGCTGAGAGCAGCCGGTCTTTTTATGAAAGTTTCGGTCAAGTCCGGAATATATGACCGTTTTGGAAGCCCTGATCTTGACAGGTAGATGTCTTTTGGTTATTTGTGTCTTTGTATAGAATCATGTTTTGTGTAAAGACTGTAACTTGACAGCTAGATGTCTTTTGGTTATTTGTGTCTTTGTATAGAATCATGTTTTGTGTAAAGACTGTATCTTGACAGGTAGATGTCTTTTGGTTATTTGTGTCTTTGTATAGAACCATGTTTTGTTTAAAGACTGTATCTTGACAGGTCGGTGTCTTTTGGTTATTTGTGTCTTTGTATAGAATCATGTTTTGTGTAAAGACTGTTACTTGACAGGTTGGTGTCTTTTGGTTATTTGTGTCTTTGTATAGAACCATGTTTTGTTTAAAGACTGTATCTTGACAGGTCGGTGTCTTTTGGTTATTTGTATCTTTGTATAGAATCATGTTTTGTGTAAAGACTGTAACTTGACAGCTAGATGTCTTTTGGTTATTTGTGTCTTTGTATAGAATCATGTTTTGTGTAAAGACTGTATCTTGACAGGTAAGTGTCTTTTGGTTATTTGTGTCTTTGTATAGAATCATGTTTTGTGTAAAGACTGTATCTTGACAGGTAGGTGTCTTTTGGTTATTTGTCTTTGTATAGAATCATGTTTTGTGTAAAGACTGTATCTTGACAGGTAGGTGTCTTTTGGTTATTTGTGTCTTTGTATAGAATCATGTTTTGTCTTTAGTGCCGTGTGGAGACAGTAGAGTGCCTCCCTGTGCTTCAGGTTTATGCTCTTATAATATACTAGATTATGGAGTGTGTGTCCGAGCGAGAACTTCTCTAGTTCATTACTTTAGGAATATTTATCAAAAAGTAGTATTTCAATATTCAGCCCCATTCTACTATTTAGTCAGACGTCAGTCGCTACCCTGATATACCCTTTCTTTTTTGGGTAATTAATACGGATAGCGTTTGACATCTTTAGCCGAACAGATTTATCATTTTTACATAATTTAATTCATTGTATGCTGGTTCTTATTCTGGACGCCAGTCTTTGCTCCTTTCTAATATAATTCACAAACAAAAAACAAATATGAAGCTTAGAAATGGAAAAATATTAAATACTAAACTCTTTCAAAGGGTATCTACACGTCTCAATCTTCAAAATCGCTTAAATAAAAATACTACCATCGTTAACATTTTTAACAATAAAAATCGTGGTTACCCTTCTATCGATAAGTGTCATGCCAAAAAATGACTTACATGTCCCCGTCTTTTCACCAACAATACGGTAAGGTCCACGTTTAATGGTTGCACATTTTCTTTAAATTTTGAAACTGATATAACTTGAAAAACAGTATTATTTATTTACTCACATGAAACAAACCGGGATGCGGTATTCAGTACGTAGGTGAAACTGGACGATATTTAACTTAACGCACTCAAGAACATCTGTATCGTTTTAAAAGACCCAATAAATTCAAAAGTATCATTTATCAACATCTTAAGAAGCACAATCATCCTATTAAATATTTAGCAGTTCAACCTTTAGAAGTAGTAAATAAGCAGCCTGGTGAATCTCATTCAAAGTTTGTACGATCACGGAAAATAATTGAATTAAATTGGATTAAAAAATTACAGACAGTCTACCCTCTCGGTCTTAATGATAATATCATGGGAATTGGTAATATATCAAGAACCGATTCTGTTAACATTTTGGATATAGTTTCTAAAACTGTTCGTAAAAACCGTTCTCATGGTTGTAGAAAAAATCACAATCAAAGAAAATTTCGGACCAATCATACCAATATTTCGGACCTAATTTCTATTTCAAAAAACAACGGCAGACATTATCTGTTAACAAAGCTCTGTTCATTACCGGTTAATAAGTTAAATAAAATTTTAGAGGATTGCAACACAATTTCATATAGCAGTCCTAAGTATGAAATCGTTCAAATTATAATGGCATATTGTTATTCTAAACTGTTTCCCAAAATTGATCACCCTGAAGATCATAAAAAACAGTTTATTAAAATAAAGTATGTCAATAATGGTTTTGATTTTGTAAATATTGCCGGTATTTTTAACGACCATTCAGTTAAAGAACAAATTCCGGGATATTTTGATAATACTGAGCTCCCTCTTATTTGTTATATTTACAAGAAATCTACCCAGAAATTTGTGTTTAATTATAGCCAATTGTGTAAAGATGTTAATATCAGTGAAAATACACCTACTTCATGTAATTG